AAAATAAACTTAACGTTTTGATTGTTTAAAATATAAGGTAAACATAATTACGTGATTTTATGTGGACAATTAATTATTAATGAATTTATACCGGTCCTTAAATAGAATAATTTATAACACATTTATTACTCACTTAAACTCAAATGTGTAACATGTGCATTTATAACCCGAGCGCGAATTTCACAAATTGTCACTTCAGTATCGATGTTGAAACTTAAATTAAACACAATTCAATTTGCTTATACTCGTATATCAAACAGATATCTTCGAGAGAATTCTCGAATCAGGAATCATCATATTTGATATTTCCTGAAAAGAATGGGCCTAACAAAGGTAAGGATATAAGTTGATTTAAAATCTAAGCGAGAGCGAATGCGACCCAGTTCACAAGTTAATAATCTCTTTTGAAGAAGTTGCTAACGTGCGAATGTGCTGCAATGAAGGGTGTTTACGCATTTGTTAAACTAATTAGTATATCGCAGTAATCCTCACCATTAGGGCAATTGAAGGATAAAACGAAGTGCGAGGTGAGTTTAATACACTTACTGGCGTCAAATCAATCGCATTTGCCTCTTACTCTGAAACACGTTTTAGTACTAGGTATTTTAGCAAAAGAAAAGGGCGTTGCGCCTACATTTACATATAATTACAAAACAGTGTATTTTACTGGAAAGTTCCGCTTAATCAAGAAGCGTGTTTTTATACCCCGAAGAGCTTTAGTGAAAAGTGGAGCAACTGACCCTTAACTTCGAAATTAAATTCCTCAAACACAATCCTAGGCATTTCAAGTTCTCTGTCGCGTCGTGACGCCGACGCCATATATTACAAATGACGAAATAACTACTGCTTTGAGCTATGAGCTATGAAATTAGTGCCCCACAAATAATTTTTAATTAGATGCAAAAGTTAAGAATGCGGATATTTATAATGTTTTTTTCGCACATTTGCCCTATAATTTATTAACCAACGACGCAATGCAATAAATGGTAAATTCAGGTTTCTGTATTTGGTATCCGTTATGCAGTTTCTCGCGCACAGAACGTTTTCCAATAAACTATTTTGAGGTTGCTAGGAATCAAGTCACATCATTCGTATTGTTTGGCAATTCAATTAAAAGGTGTCTCCTAATCAGCAGTGAAACTTTGAAGTTCAGAAAATTATAAATACTTTTTTGACATTGAATGCAACTAAAAATGCGAAAAACGTCACTACTGATTGTGATGTTATAATATTTATAGGTACAGGTTCCTTGGGAGAAAGACCCAGGAATGTCCCAAACTGCTCCTTTCATGAATATCTAGGTCTTTTTCACAGACCACCTTAAGAGAGTCGAATAACGCTAGAGGGTATTGTAGCGGATTTTGTGGAACGATATCAGGGCACCATCAAGTCGATAAGGGATTAGCCGCCGGCGATAAGGAATAATTTGTCAGTATTTGGCCGTTAGTTTCGTTGAAATCGCTTCATTAATACTTTAACAATTATTAATTAAAATCGGGTCTACCTTTTTCGATAACCTTGTATAATAACGAAATGGTTGTATTGGTGGATTCATCATTATTTGGTTTATTTATTTTTTGAATAACGAAACGGTTATTTGCGCTTTTATAATGATAATGAGCACAGATTACAGTTACTTCAAATATGACAGTTGCTTTTACCTAGTTCAATATCGTTCGAAAGGCTTAAGATACTAGAAAACAATTGAAAGTATACCTTCTTTCAGAGGGCGAGGGAGAACAGTGTTTGAAATTCGAACTTCTAGTATTTGAAACCATGAAAATGTGATCGGCGTGTACTGCATATTGAGCAAAACAATTCTGACTCTCTTCGGCCAGAGAACGAGAATGTAAGGATGGGTAAAGTTAAGGACGGGAACGGAAGGAATCTGGACGGACCAAACGGACCCAGGCTGATGCCACCCAAAGAAACACATTCGGACAATATATACAGGTTCGCCGATGTCCATGAACTTAGCAGAGCACGGTCAGCAGAACACAACCAAACATATTGCATAATTAGGTGCTAATTAGGTGCTAATTATGTGCCCTATCCCCGAATTAAATGCTCCTTTTTTTTTAAATTATTACATGTTTTGCCAGGTTCATATGAACTCTGCAGAACACTACCTCAAAAAACCAAGAAAATGAAAAGTGAGCTAACTAATAATTAGGTTCTATCTTAATTATGAACTATTACATAGCATCCTACGTCCCGTGACCGTGCTACGCTTGTACTTTTCATAATTCAACGCACAATATAGCAATTTGTTTTCGAAGTACGCTTTTGTAAAATTTGTACGAACAAATTTTGTAACTTTTTGGGTTTAAAGCAATAAATTAGCACTTTTTAATACGCCAAATCACGAACACTTAAAGACGTATTTGTTTTTGTAAACACAGTGCCTGTCTGCTTAAATCATGTAAATAGAAGTAAAAATTATAAAAAGGAAGGGCACAGAATTTGAAAACAGGTCACTTAATTAGCACCTAATCAGCACCTAATTATTAGTTAGTTCACTTTTCATTTTCATGGGTTTTAAAGGTAGTGTTCTGCTGAGTTCATATGAAACTGGCAAAACATGTAAAAATGAAAAAAAAGGAGCATTTAATTCGGGGATAGGGCACTTAATTAGCACCTAATTATAGTTAGTTCACTTTTCATTTTCTTGGTTTTTTGAGGTAGTGCTCTGATGAGTTCCTGGCAGAACATGTAATAATTTAAAAAAATGGAGCTTTTAATTCGAGAATAGGGTACTTAATTAGCACCTAATTATAATTAGTTCACTTTTCATTTTCTTGGGTTTTTCAGGTAGTGTTCTGCTGCGCTCATATGAACCTGGCAGAACATGTAATAATTTAAAAAAAAAGGTGCATTTAATTCGGGGATGCGGCACTTAATTAGCACCTAATTATAGTTAGTTCACTCTTCATTTTCTTGTTTTTTTGAGGTGGTGTTCTGCTGCGCTCATATGAACCTCGTAGAACATGTAATAATTTTTAAAGAAAAGAGCATTTAATTCGGGGATAGGGCACATAATTAGCACCTAATTATAGTTTACTTTTCATTTTCTTGGTTTTTAAAGGTAGTGTTCTGCTGAGTTCATATGAACGTGGCAAAACATGTAATAATTTCAAAAAAAGGAGCATTTAATTCGGGAATAGGGCACTTAATTAGCACCTAATGAGCACCTAATTATGCAATATGTTTGATTGTGTTCTGCTGACCTTGCTCTGCTAGGGTCATGGACATGGGTCGCTGATAAGTCTGGAAACGGTCGATTATCGACGAAAATATACAAGATATCGAAATATGTTTTATACAAAAGTGTTGGGGTTCTTCAATGTCTACTAGGAAGTGATAATTTAATTTAATTTTTTTGTTGTTTATAAAGGCGCGGCACACCAAAATTGCATTTTTTGAAATAGAAAACCCTATATATTATTCAATATTTCAATTCTTCTCTCAATTTTAAACAAAATTTGTAATAAGCATAATGTACCTAAATTCAATCGTTTCTGGGTTGTCGAGTTTTGAAAATATTTTAAAATTCATTAATAATTGAATAAAAAAACAATAATTAATAATTCTAAAAAATAATAACAAACTTCACAAATGGTTTTTTTCAGAAACACAGAATGTTTTCAAATAAAAATCGTGATGTCATTAATTAATTTTTAAAGTAATATCTTTTATTTTCAAACCTCGATATAGCTCGGAAACGATTGCATTTGGGTACATTATGCTTCTTACAAATTATGCTCAAAATTGAGAGAAGAATTGAAATATGGAATAAAATATACAAGGTATTCCATTCAAACAAATGCATTATTTGTGTGCCACGCCTTTATGACCAACCCTGTATAATCCAAATTACTACTGCCTGGTAGACATTAAAGAACCTCAGATCTTTTGTATAAAACTTTTATTGATACCTTGTATATTTTCTCCGATAATCGACCGTTTCAACGACCGTGTACACGTTTCGGATGTCCGGGAGCAGAGCAGACCACTGGAGCACTTCTTCCCCTGACAACGGCTCGCGGTTCACGTCGATAGCTTGAAACGCGGAAATTAAGAAGGGAGGTTGCACGACGGAATCAGAAACTGAAGATGAGTTGCTCTTTCGTGTTCCGAGACACAGTTTTAAGAAGGGGGTAGTGTAGCGAATTTTTTAGAATGATAGCATCAGGAATAAAAATTAATGTTTACCGTGAAATATGATAAAGGTTTATTCAGTACAATAGCTGTCAAGGCTCTAGTACAGGAACCAAACTGGCCTCTGAGTTTGAATAATTAATATAATAAAAATATCAGCAATATAAATCGAAGGTGGTGAATGCGAGGGCACAGAATCGTGGCCAATGTTCCTTTAATCTAACTCTTGTCTAGATGCATTTTATTATTATATGATTCAGAGAGCATAATGAATTCATTACCCCCGGGTTCTTACGAATTTAAAAGAGCTAATTAATTTAAATTTCAAATTTGAAATTAATTGTTTATAGTAATTACATGGATTGGTCTTGACATCGTAGGTCGTACTTACTGTCGAAACACCTTACTAACCAAAAAATACAGGTGTTTGGGTCCTCCGATGTTACAAGTGGTCAAACGATTACGCCAATTATTCATATCGGGTCATTGTAAAATGCATATAAATCGCTGCAAGGTCCACTGAACTGGAACTATTAATATAACGTAAAGCGCCAATTTTTACCCTAGTATTTAAATATGGAGAGCCGATCTAAATATAGACTTTCATTGTATATGGCAGGTCTTTTTTGTGTGTGTGTTGTTATTAATGTAGGCCGTCGCGGCGATTATGAGACGATCACTTTTGGATGGTCTTTGTGCAATTAATGTCTGTGTTTCGTACGAAATTGTCACATGTGTATCTTTGTTTAAAGGCGCACAGCCGGAGGACATTCAAAACGCCGCCGGCGGCGGGAGGTTTGTAAATGTTGGATAAATAAACTCAAAGCATTCGTTCACAGACCGCCACTCTCGTTAGTCGCAGTTTAAGCTGCGCGTAAAGACGCGCTTTATTCACTTGCCGTTTTTTTCATTTGTTTATAAACAATAGATCGCCGCCGCCGCCGCTTTTGTTAATGTAGCTTTAACTCACCCCTCGTTTTATCTATAGGTAATGTAAATAAGGGCTCGGTTGTGATAAAAATTCAGTGTTTTCTTATGATTACTTAAATGTGATGTGATAACAATTTTGGTTCGCTTCTAATATTTTAGTGGGATTTTTATGTGGCATCATTTCCGATTAGCCATACGGAAATGTCTTAATTTTCTGCTTAAGGAAACGGTTTGGTAATTTTTTATTTTACCTACTTCCTCAACTCTTAATTTCGAGTAATCAATATAGTGACACTACGTCCGTCGTGTTCGCGCGGTACATTGAACTTAGAAAAAAATGTGTGACTGTAATTTATTTAATAATTTAATTAAAATGATATTTAATCGATTATTTAAACAATTCGGTAGTTCGTTTAGTGTTTTGTTAATTTTATTTATTTGTGCCTTACAAGGATTTGCCTTGCCGGATCGACCTAAAAGGGAGCTAATAGAAGATGATGTGGTGAGTTGCGCTTTTTATTAACTTCTTGAACTTTAATTAAATTATGACAAATTGCGTTGACAATAAGCGGACAAAGGCTATTATCCTTGTTTTTTGCGGGATGAATCAAAATTGTTTCCCAATTCACAAAGAGCACGTTGACGTGCTACTGTCACCGTCGTCGCACCACATGTCGAGGCGCCATCGTTAGCTTCGAGGTTGAAATCGATATGTTAAACCCTTGTGATGATGAACACTGATCGGGGTGGTTTATACCTAATGTATGATTGCTACCACCCACAAGTCGAAATCGTTTCTTTCAGCCCTCTTGCTACCGCTTATCCTTTTTTAATGCATTTTGAAGGTCCCGTCATAATCTGCAACGTCCTTGTCTCTAAATTTCAACAAAGGAATTTTAAAACATTGTAACAAAGATAGTCCATAAAAACGATCTTGACCTCTGAAAAAAATAATCCTCCATATAATTACCATCAAATAAATGACAATATTATTGAGAATTACAGCATCAAATAGTTAATTGAAAAATTCCCCCGAATGTAGGTAGATATTAAAAGGGTTTCTACGTCAGCTGTTTCAGAGGGGTGAAGTAGGTATCCAACAAAAAACCTTGTGCATTGTACATTTGTAAATGCCGTTCAGTTTTTCAGCTCCAGATTAAGCCCCCCCCCCCATATCAAAATTTTTGGAACCCATAATATAGGTGTTACTTGAATGGGGGGATCCTAAAACAAAGGTACCGCCTGTGCAACAATGTATAAACCGAGGTATAAACATTGCACGCATGGCACAAGCATTGCAGATATATTGCAAGTAATGGCAGAGAATTGCTCATACTTAGTAACATCACATCACATGTTCAATCTGAGGTTTAGTCATCGTCGTACTTGCATGTTTTAATCAAAATCGCAGTAGATATCCAGTGTACCTACATAGCAGTGGCGTAACTAGAATGCCTCAAAGGTACGCAATGAGGACGGGCCGGCACAAAAATATACAACAAATTTAATTCGTTTATACAAAATTCTGAAAAAAATTGAAAATTTCCTTCCGCAACTAACGGAAGAGATAAAACGTAAAAAACGCGTAATGCAAATGAGGGCTAATGTTTTATTTACGAAGAGCCATGCACCTGATTTTTTTTACAGTTTACAATAGTCCGAAGAAAATTCTGAATCATTGTTCACGGAGGGTAAATACAGGCGAAATCTGGAGCAATATACAAAAATTAACAATCAAACTCATGAATTTGAATAATTTAAATCTGACTTTAATCCAATACAAAATTTGATATGCTCAAAAGTAGCCAACTCAAATAGAATAAAAAAAACTCCTTTCCCATTTGTGAAAACTAACATTCCGATGTCTGTTACATAAAGTAAATGAAATACTTTGTTAAATAGCGGGACCTTCTCCAATCCAGAAGGTATCTGGAGGTCCTGGATACGGTAACCTTAGAGTGAAGTTGTATTTCGAGATGAATACCGCTTATGCCCGTTTGCACCGACAAATTTAAGCGGAGCTTAGCTTAAGCGTCCCTTAAAATCCATGGCAACGATTATTGAGACAATGGTTGCCATGGATTTTAAGGGACGCTTAAGCTAAGCTCCGCTTAAATTTGTCGGTGCAAACGGGCATTAGTCATTTTAACACTGCACCTCTGCTCGGACGAGACAGTTACAGACATTAAAAATGGCAGATTCATACACAAAGAATTGAAGTCGCTAATCAAACTAAACGAATTTAAACATCGAAGCAACTGGCCAATCTTAAACAAATCAAAATAAGAATAACATTTAAAGTGAAACAATTAAATAACAAGCAAATTCAAGGGTTACCTACCCCTAGGTACAAATATCTGAAGTCCATACAAGTCACAATACAACGAAGAGTTACAAATGAAGGGGTCAATGCAAGAAGTGCCTAAGTCACTTTTTTTTACTGAATTAAGTTTATGCCGTTATCTAGTGGCGTTTTTCATAAGCTTTCAGATGGTAGTTTCAGATTTGCAGAAATATGTACCCTCGTATGTACCTAAGTGCCTCATTTTGCATTTGCTCTGATAGGAGTTTGCCTCAACCCACAACCCAAACGTGATCCCTCCGCCCTATCAATTTGCTTCGATTATCAAAAAAATTTGCCTGTTTCTGTTCCAACTTTACAAAAGCCTGTGCGAAAGAATACCTACAAATCAAGAAGTTGAAATTTGACAACATAATGCATCTTGTCGGCATCTTGTCAAGCACATTGTATTATTGAACTGAATTCTTTGCTCGAACCTTGTCTGAAAATGAGAGTATAATCCAACAAAATAGTGTTGCGAGTGATAAAATTCATCAGTTGCAAAAGGTTGACGCAGTTTATGAATAGCCTTCGTGCCTACCATGTTCTAATTTATACTGCAAGCATTCTTTGTATTTTCTACTATGTTTATGCTTTATTTAGTCTTCAGCTTGGTTCAAATGTTTCGTGTTCTTATGGCGTTGCATAAAAAATATGATGAAAGTTTAAGAAACAACAAGCAAACGTTACGCCACAGGTTTCACAGCCATCTTCTGATTTTTTGAGGAACAATCGCATGTATGGTGCATGCCATTCATCATGCCTAAATTTTTTTTTTTCGCAAACCATCACAGATAGCGATATTCATCAAGAGACAAAAAATGCTTGCTAGTAAACTGTCTATCAGTGTCTAAAAATTCAGAACCGTCAAAATAGTAGTTAAAAAGTTTTAGACCTCTTCAGATGTGGATGGTCAGTATTTTACCACCTACATAGCAACTACAATCAAAACGATGATATCACAAAGACCCTTTTTACATTAGATATTCACATCCCGAATTTCATTTTAATCGGCAAAACCATTTTCCGATAAAATAAAAATAACGATTTTTTTTTAATCTTTGGCGGTAGATAGCGCCTTACCGAAGCACTTTGGGATAGAGGTAAGTTGGGTTAAATCGTCCTATTTTGATACCAAGAACCCCTGGTAGCGCGTTGTACAGACCTTTTAGGGACACCCTGCATACAGATTAACATCGTTTAAAAATTGCCGATATAAGGAAAGGGCCCCCAAATATTTTTGAAGACACGCCTCTAAAATGCAGATACGGCACTGCTACATAGCAGTACATACAGAAGGTGCGTTTCCAACGAAGTTGGGTGCGCTATTGCAGCCACCTTCTCTGTCCGTCGGTCTGTCAGTCTGTCCGCCTGCCCGAGGCCTTAACTACCCCTACAGTTTTCAAGATCGTTCTTTTTGCATTCGGTAGCGTATGGCTCTGGCACCTGAACTAGGCAACGTCAACTTTCTTATTTATTAATATATTTTGTTGAAATTTTAACCACAGATCGAGTCACAGATACTTCTAGTAAAGGCAAACATATCGCATATAGTAAAAGTCAGATGTACACATGCGCAGACTGCGCAATGGCAACTTTCTTGTTTATGGAGATATTTCTTTGAAATTGAAACCAAAGATGCTTTGAGTAAAAGTAAACGTATCGCATATTGTAAACATCAGATTAATGTGGCGCAATATTAAATGTTTTATTTATCGAAATATCTTTTTGAAATTTTAATCACAGATGTTTCTGTTAAACGCAAACGTATCTGATATTGCAAACATTAGATGTGTGAATGAGCAATCAGTGTCCACTTCCTTATTTATGAAAATATTTCTTTGAAATTTTAACTATAGTTGCTTCTGGTAAAGAACATCTAAAAAAAAACGTGTGTTCCAGACAACATTTTCACCCTGTATATCTCGCTGTATATGTACTGTTCAGTAAGTTCTATATTAAGTTAGCCACAACTCACCAGGTTAGCCATTATGAAACCATTTCATAATTAGGGGTTAATTGGATGCAAGGGGTTAATCACTCCTAAAACAAAGGTACGGCCTGTGCAGTATTGCACATAATTACCCACATTGTACTAATATTGCACACATTGAGACAGGGCGACGCGGGAATGCGGGCACGGGAGCGGGAGTGGTACAGATGCGTGATATGTCTGTACAGCGGGATTAAAGTATGCATACTGATGCTGCGTATACCGCTGTAGAAATATATCCCGTACCCCTACCTCTCCCGCTTTCGTGTCCGCATTCCCGCCTCGGTTTGACTGAACCTTTACCTCGGTATTACAGAACTTATCATGTGCAGCTGCAGAACTATTATTGCTCTCGAGCAAAGATCATACTCTTGAGTCTCGACGACCATTCAAATCAAGATGGCTGTAAAAAGCGTTCGTACCTGTTCGTGCTCATGAGACGATGCAGACAGCTTTCCCCTTCTTCTTAAATGTAGCGCGGTTGCCAGCTCTTAAAAATGTGTGCATCGTTTTAAGTTGTACACTTATACAGGATGGAACCTCTCAATAGTATAGACTCATCTGCATACTATTGCCTATTCATTTTGCTAATGTGTTTTGAAAGTTCAGGTAAGTACTATAAGAATCAGCGGGAAGTCAATCTCGACATTAAACTCAACTACCAATGGGCGACTTCTCTACGTGGTAGCATACCAGTCAGTGCTAATTTATACCGTATAGGAAAAAGATATAAGTAGAATGAAATCTGTAAAAAGGAATGCCCTGCAAAACCCATGACGTAGTTTTCTAGATTTTCTTAAGCCTTTTCTAGAACACAATATTTTCTTGGAATTTGACACATTACCTGCATACAAATTTGCGGGATTCTTTTGAAATTGTCTTACAAGTGCAGAATATGTTGACAAAAATGTCCTTTGGATGATTTGGGAAGCTTTCCTATGATCTACCAAATTATTTTTGTAGAGAGAATGGTCTACCGAATACTACCTACGTTTTCAATGACAAAACGTCTTTACTACCGGGGAAGGAATGGGTGTTCTGAGTAAGGCACATGAAACTGTAAATGTTCTGGTACGATTCAGGCATTGTGCACGATTCCACCGTTCGGTTGAAACCAACAGTTTCCAACTTTTGTTTTTTTGTGTGTGCCGTAGGTATATCATTGTAT